GGCTCATGCTCAGCCTGTGGCCTGAGTTACTACCTCACTAGCTATCGTCTTATTTGCATTCATACAGCAGAAACTCAGCCAAAACTACCTTACACTTAAACTTGCTGTCAATTGACATAATATTCAAGACACTTCTTGCACTTCAGCTATTCCTATCTGCACCTGCCATTCTTCCTACAACAGTATTATCTAGTCATTTAGTAGGCCTAGTGATTTTTCTATTACACAGGTTATTACCAGAAAATATCAAACAGAACCAAATGTAGGAGAGACCCACAAAGATCGCACCCTATGCATCTTAGGGTTTGACAGATAAATACCCTCAGACTTTCCTCTAATTACTTTTGCACTCACCTAGAAGTAGTTTCCCTAATTTGCTTATGAGAATATCACACAAGTACTCTAAACTTCACAGCTTCTCTTTGGTCTGCAGGGCTCATTACACAGGCATAGAAGGAAATTAGATTGACTTGGAATAATTTAATCTCAGCAACTCCACATTACCTTCTTAGTGCTTAAACTCTTCTAATATTTTTCCAGAAATTGAAGGTGACTTCACTGCAACTTCAACATCTCTGCTCAAGCACAGAGAGGTACTCATTTTAAAGATGACAGAAAGCATGCAAGCATGAAAAACTCTTCAGTTCTATCCAATCTACTCAGCTTGCCTTTTTTTTTTTTTTTTTGGTAGCTAATCATGATGGGGTTATATGACCACCAAACCCACATTTGTCTAATTTAGAAGACACCAATGCACAGCACTACCATTGTAGGACTGTGATGGAGCCCTGACATGATCCTGCAGACCCCCAAAGCTTACCAACCACCACTCCCAAGATTACCATACAACAGGATCACAATGCATCTCTGCTAGGACCTTGATAGAGAAACAACATATTGAACTGCCTGAAAATACCAGTAGCTCCACAAAGCAAGGAGCATTGCTACTCCCTTAGTCCAAACAGGGTTAGGCCTAGAAGTCAAGGTATTTTCTCAGGTATGATGTACTGGAAGTTCAGTGAACATCTTCTGGATGAAAACTCACAGCTCCATCACAAGTTAGCATGTGTTAGCTTTCCTCTTCCCCCAGGTGTTCAAATTTGAGTTTGCTCAGGTAATTTGATTATTTAAAAGTGGTTTTCATTTAGTGGTCTATATATTTGTGCCATAAGCATAACACACATAATTCCAGCTTTAATATAACACTGTGCAACATTCTTCCCCCTCAAAGATTTTGCAAAGAAAAAAAAAAGTAATACAGCTTTAAGATCTTAAAAATAACACAACCTACGAACTGGCTCCCAGTGAATATTTAATTCAAAGGGTAAATTAAAAAGTTTGAATAGCAGAAATAGGCTAGAAAGGGGAGGAGAAGGAAAGGGAGAAGGAAAAGAAACAAGTATTTTTTAATTATTATTATTTTCTTCATGTTCGGATAAGCAATTTGGCAATGACACTGAATTCATTCATCATACACGTGCCAACACCACTACTGCTCAGGGCAGCTGTTCTTTAGGTCAATCTTTTGAGAATCTCTTAAAAAAATAAAAAGTTTGGATGAAGTGACCAAAATGATTTTGATATTAACAGGCACTTTGGTTCTAGGAGATGCCAGAGTTGTAGGAGTCCTGCTTTTTTCTCCCCATTATTACCAGTGGCTGGTGGGAGCAAAGCATGCCATGTATTTGATCAACTGTCCCGTAGTAAGATAACACTGATATTGAGGACTGCTACTGGTGATATAGCTATATTGTCTTCTGAAAACCAGATAGCAAGGATTGTTTCAGATCCTATATCGTTATTATATCACTGTTCACATGTAAGTGACAGCATGTCTGTGTATTAAAAGCTATCATTATCACCCATGAATGTAATAACCTTTAATAGCTTCAGAGATCTGGGCTTTGAGACTACTAAGCAGCTTATGAATTTAGAGGAAAGTAAAGGTCAGAAATTTCTTATTGCAAGCATGAAATAAAATCCATTTGTTTAAAATAACTGACAATTATTAAATACAAGGGATTTGTGCACATGGAACTCCTGTTGACAGGTTCCCTTATAGAAAAATGAAACTACATTCTGCTCTCAGAGACTCAAACTTCAATTCAATCCAGGCTCAACTTGTTTTTTCCTTGTATGGCACAAAGTACAAAAAAGGTAATGAGGACATTTTCAAATGTGGGGAATTTAAAAGACTGAGCAAATGTTGAATTTATATGACTGTTTACTAAATAGTAACAAATGAGTACTTCCTCTTCAGTAAATTCCTCAATTACTATGTAGATGTTTTCGACACATGGACAGCTAAAATTCCAGTTATTTAATTCAAGGCAGGAAAAAAAAAGAGCACTGTTTTTCTCCACACTTGTTTTGTACCTCCTAGCTAATAACTAAATATATTCACTTTTTTCATTATGTTCTTTGAAGATTAAAGACATGTCTGGCTTTGTACTGGATCTGCCTGGACAGCTGACAGCCCATTAAACTCAAGTAGTACAAGCAGTACATTTTAAGGTCCTGAATTCCAAAGCACACCAAGATGACTTACTATATATGTGCAAGAGTACTCCTGAGACACTTTGAAATCGTACATTTCAACTTCTAAGCAGAATGGATGATCATCTGCTTTTATAGGAAACTGGTTAAGCAGCAATTAAAATACCCTTCTGGTCAGGATCCTTACAGAAGAGGTGTGTCTATCATTAACAATCACTTCTATTGTCAAAATCTGCATTAAAAGTCACTTTCATGTGTTGTGTTCTTTTCTTTTAATCCAAGAGCACACAAAAAATCCCTAGCATGTACCAGATCATGGTAATGAACCAATATCTGTTTTCAACTGGTTATGAAACAGATGCACACTGCATCCTGGTTTTCTCTCCTACTTTTATATCCTTACTGTGGAGGGAGCAAAGAGTTATACTGCTCTTTCACAGCAATTTAAAAATTTTCTAAAGTTGTGGTACTCCTTTCATGACAACTTCCTGTAGCCCACAATTGTGGTCGTATTCCTATGTACCCCGTAACTTACCTTTGCCTGCATTGTGGCATTGTCTAATATTACCGCCATCACCACCCCCAATTCCAGTAAAAGAACAAAAAGAGGACTGAAAGCTTCAAATAAGTCATTTATAAGTACATTTCAGGCAAAACTTTTTAAGCTTTGAGGTGGATGTAGGAACTTTCCTTAAGTTTATGGCACAGATGCAACATAAAGAGCTATAATAACATGTAATATTCTTTTGGTGGCAGACCTAGGTGGTCTACTTTATATAAAGAAGAGATTTATAGATTTTGAACCACAAAAGTAAAAAGATCTAAGCAAGTAAGAAAGCATGTTACAAGACACACTCATGTCTTCGCGTCAAATCATCTTAATTTGCTACTGGGTAAATTCTAAAGAAGAATTTTAGAAATAAAGTGCCTAAGAACAAGTCCACAAACTCTTCCAAGCCAGCTACTTGCCCCCATTCCATTAAAAAAAAAAAAAAAAAAAAAAAAAAAAAGTGTGTATATGTCTTAGGATAATATTGAGTCTCAGTACCTCTATTACACAGTTTTATAAAGATTATTTGCCATTAGGTTTCCGGCCTCCTGTTTCTGACAAGATGTGGCACAGGAACATTGAGTCATTTCTGAGGTGTTCTATGAAGAATCCAAGTTCTAATCCCTTTTGTAATGGGGCGAGGACACAGTTCAGTCAAGCAAACATCCTCTCATATTCCCAGCCTGTTCTTACCAAGACTTCAGCCTAAGCTACAGGTCAGCTCCTGATTTGTCTTAGCTTTCAAAAGCAAAGAACCAAGCACACTCATACCTGCATGATCAGAGGTTGTAAGGCTGACAATACACTGTTATCCTGTTCTTACAGGATATAACAAGAGGAATTCAGAGGTCTGCATTGCAAGATCTCAGAACTGAGACAAAGGTAAGTTGAATCAAGTCTATTTCTTCTGCATTACCTTAATAACAAAATTATTAGACATTGAATGAGTCCCCATATTATATGCTGCTCTGTGAAGGGCTATTCTTTTATTAAATGAAAAGAAGTCTAGTCTCATGTAACGTAGTGTAAGGATAGATGTGCATCAGTATACTCTTAAGAGAGTATACACATAAAAGGTTTAAGAAAAAAAAAAAGCATCCACAGCTCATACAGTATTAGGGGATGCAATCAAACAAGAAAACCACACACCTGGTACAGACAGCAAAACAAATATAAGAGCATTGTAAAGTTACGCATTCAAGTTTTCTTTTGAATAAATAAATAATTTTTGTTACTGTTATATTTCTATTCTAGATCACAAAGCATCCTAGCAATTCCCCTGCGAGTTCTTCCTTATTTTCCAGTATTTCCACCTCATATCAGCATAATAATGGCTTGTGGTTTCACTAAAAATCCCACATCTTTACTCCTGATTCATTTTTCTGGTTTTCCATTATCAAAATACAGACACTGTCTTAGCCAAAGCATCTCATCAGGTATGCTGAAGTTTCATTACTTTTCTGCAACTTTCATCGTATACCTTGAAAACACCTTTACTTCAGATCAGACAACTCTCTCTCATAAGCATAGAACCCTTTCTTTGTTTCTACACAGCAAATATAACATTCAACATCATTTAAACATATTCTCAAATGATCTCATCTAAGAAATCCTACCTAAGTCATTTAGATTATCACTGTACTACATCACCTCAGCTCCCTTTGCAACTGCTCACAGAAACTATTTTACTCAGCACAAATACTGAACAGCATCACATCAGGAAGAGGCCACCACTAAAGAGGCACCTACAGTTGCACAAGACATCACTTTATTTTCACTTCTTGTGTGAAGAGCCACACTGGATTATGTCCACAAGACTTCAAGAGCAAGCCCCAACTCAGCCACACCAAGGATCTCTACCTGCACTGAGGAGCCACAATGACAAAGTCTCTTGCATAATTCAAATAAAATATTATTTCAAAGCTAAGTTAAAACACGCATCTACCACTCATACCTGAAGTCTTCTGCTGCTCAGTCACGTTCCCACATGTAGTGCCAAACACCACTTTCTCACACATAGCAGAAGCCCCTCACATCAGCAGCCTGGTAACAGAGCACAAGCATAAGGAAAATGCTACCATCTTGGGATCTCAGGGAGGCCTCATCAGAACAAAACATCTCAGAGATTTCATCTAAGACCAACTACATTTACTTTCTCACCTTCTCTAGACCTTACTTTAAACAGAGCCTACTAAAAATAAATAAATAAAATACACACGCAAAATCTCATTCTCTATTTTTTCTTTAGACATGCTCTTTCCACTTCCCTTTTCTCTAACAGCAAAATCCTCCCAAATTCTCAGGTGTGCCACATCATCGTTCAGTGAACCAGCTGTGTTCCCTTCTAAGCAGGTGTAGGTAGCTAAATTACAGCTGAAAAGTGTTTTATGATAATAAAATTGACTATGCAGAGGATTTGTGGGTTTGTTTTTCTAATCAAAATGTGTTTTTGAATAAAGTCATGCACCAGGTTACATTAGTCAATGCTGTTATTTTCAATAACGTATGGTTCCACTGAAAATAAAACAAAACAAAGCAAAACAAAAAACAAAACAAAAAAAAAAGAAAAACCAAACCACCATAGACCTTGTTTTGTATGACTAATTTTCCATAAAATCCAAGTGAAGGACGCAATTTCCACTACCTACATTTGGGCCTTCACAGCTCATATCCCCATAGCAGCAATTCTGTAAGCACCCATGCCGAGTTACTACACCTCTCCAAATCATCCCAGCAATCCTTTCCAGAACCTTCCACAGTATTAGAGATTTGCATCATTCTTTCCACACACCTCACCTCACACCCCTGGCTGACGGCAAGCCCAGCCTGTACCCCCGCCATTTGGCCACCTGCAGAAGGGGCCGTCCAGGTGGGTTCTGTGTCAGGCAGCACCCCTGCTTCCCTCCACCATCCCTCAACTTAATAATTCCTCGTCAATCATCAGAAGGAACCTACTCTCATTAATTTGTCTGTTCACCAGTAATCTCCTTCATTTATGTTCCCTCTTCTGCTTTGTACAACTTGTTATTACCATGTTCTAGGATTTGTTTCATTAAACAAGATTTATTTCTTGAATGCAAGTGTATGTGGCTTGGGGCTATCTGATAAAATATTCTTTCACATTCAATATAAATATAGCATTCTTACACATTCATTACATACTCTTGCACATGAGAATACACAATTTATTTCCCATCTCTTTTTTTTTTTTTTTGTTGCTGTTGCTGTTCAGCTCTGTAAAATGATCACTTTTAAGACACCTAATGTACTTGGTATTACGGTTTGATTTGATAGATGTGTAGATTCATATGCAATAAGAACACAGAAATGTGCTTTATTTACTTGGAGGGTCAAGGAAGGTCAATAAAATTGTGAGGTGGGGGAGGGCATGCTTGACATACTTCCATAAATGTTTTGGTAGAAAAGGACTGCTCTTGCACTGTACCCTTACAGGGAAGAAGCTGGGAAGGAGGCAATGAAGGACCTCTCCAGCAGTGTGACCACACCACTGAGCAGGACCTGGGCAGCATCTGCTCTGGGACAAGCTCCTTTGCTTAGCTTTATTCAGAAAAGAAGAAAACAGTAATGAGACTGGAATGATTTGAAGTAGCATTTTTAAAACAGAGTCATGCAGCTGTATGATGTGCCTGTTAAAAAGTACATGATTACATTGCCATTCTTTTACAAATAAACACAAAAGGCAAGGGAACAAGCGAGCAAGTGAACAGAAGAAAACAAAACCAGGAATAAAATAATGTCTGTTCATGTAATTTAATCTGAACTCTCATTGCCTGCTCTTCTTTGGAAGAAACTTTCATCAACATTAGAAAATTCATGATAGCTAGACTGTTGATGAAAGAATAAAACACATATCATCTTGTAGAAAAACAAATGCAATTATGTAGGCTATAGGCTATACCACAAGACACAAGCAGTCTCTTTTGTCCAAAACACCTTTTACATTTTTTTTTTACCTCCAGTATTTTGAAATTAAGTATTTAAGTTTCAACAGTTACTTGGGTATTGTATATGCAATATTGGGCAGTACCTTTTTCAAATATTAGGTTCCTTTATATGATACTATGCATGTTTTTAAACACTTCCCATTGCAGGCCCAGTTATAAGCAGATGAAGTTTTATTGCTTCAGCAAACAAGTGGAGAGAAACGACTGACTGAGGGATTCCTGAATCTCATCTACTGCTCTACTATTCTAACACTAAACTGGGGTCATACAGCTCTCTAGTTTGTAACGTCCAGTTCTGTCCTTCAAGGTTGTTTCCTATCAGACTGAGTCCTCATGCTCAAATTTGCTCCATTGATGCAAAAAATGCATTTAGTAAACAGGATTTCCTTTCCTTTATTTCTGTTCTTGGTGCTATCTTCATTCAACATGTAACATCATTTTGACACAATGAAGTAGATAATACCATAAAAGCTAATGCAATAAAAGCTACCTAGCATACACAGACACAAGGAAAATGGAAAATGTCTGTCATTGCAAAAATACTGTTCAATTTGTGTTGGTTACATTTCAAACTCTTCCCCAAACTTCAGTAATCCCTCTGAGATCCTGGCTGCAGAGGTGGCTGATTGAGTCCGAATATCATACAAGCACCTGATTTTCTGGCTTGCCACATTATTTGTTCAGAGTAATTTGTTCAAGAGGCATTTTAACATAAAATCTATTACTTTGGCTGAAGAGAAAAGTTTATTTTTTTACCAGGCAAAATCTCTGTTCCAGTGAAATACCCTAGCAAGACTTGCGCGGACAAAATGCCCCAGCACAACATGGCAGGTCTTCTGACATGCTCAGCTTGCTTTCAAAGTGTATGGAACCCAAGAAACATTCTTTGGAGGAATGGTTTGTTCTTTAAAAAGCTGTATAATCTTTAATGAAGATAAACAGAAAAGTGTAAAACACCTTCCTATGCCTCAATACTTCAGAGTCCTTATAATTATTATTTTTTTAACTTTATTTTTTCATTTGGACTGCAATGAAAAGGTGGTATCTGGATAAACTGTGTTATGCAGGGGTTTTGTTGTTGTTGTTGTTTTTGAGAAGCCTTTTTGTTTTGTTTTGTTTTGCTTTGAAAAACCAAAGCAGAGATGATATAGAGATTTATAGTGACTTCTACATTGTGAGCCCTGTCCCACTGTATAATTACTTGTAATACTATCAGAAGTAAACAGCTATTTTGTTACAAAAAACTATTTTGGAAATCTACTATGATAACAAAATGCAAAACCTCATTCCCTGTGGTAGTGTCCAATCATTCACTGAACTGGAGTGAGTCTGAATGCAGAAGAGAAACAAAGAGAGCATCACTTCAGATAGAAAACAAACAAACAAACAAACAAACAAAACAAACAAACAAAAAACACCAAACAATTTTGGCAGTTTTGCATTCTGGGAGGATAGATTAGGTTTATAGTTGGAGGGATTTACAAAATTTGAATTAAAAAAAAAAAAAGAGAGAGAGAAATCATATAAGTTGGCTACAAGCTTCATTCTTCAATGAACAAAGCAACAACATGCAACTCACCTGAAGAAGTGGGATGAAATTGTTTTACTAGCACAAGTAAAGGGGATAGAAGAGGAGAGCAGAAGTGAAATTGTGGTGTAGTTCCAGGGACAAACAATTTGAAAGCAACAGTTTGGGAAGAAAAATAATCACAGCTTTGTGTGTTTGAAAACACTGTAATTAAATCAAATAATGTCTCTGATGTTGTATTTTTTTACTTTAGAAAGAAATTTCCCATAAACAGCCAGAAGAGTGGTAACGAATTTATCACATAATGCATTTTGTTATGTGGCGAGGAATAGAGGAAAATGAACAGTGATTGAGCACCATCGTAATGTAGTATATTTGTCACTCTGCATGAATTAAAAAGCTACAGGGACACAGTATAGTATTTGCTGTCTGATTCACAGTGTCGGTTGTATTAGAACTCTTAATGATGACATCTGGTGAACTTTTGAATTTGGAAGAACTTATTAGGGTATTTTCAACTAGAAGCATCCTTAAAGTAAATTTCCAGAAGGTTCAGTATGTTCAGCATAACCTTGGAGCACTAAGACTGAATACTTCAATCAGCAGCACCTAACAGCAACAATCTTAATATTATTTATGTATACAGCTAGATTTTTATTTTTATAGCTAAAGTCAGTGCCTGCAATGTCACTGGTGATAATGTATTACCATTTTTATCTATGGAAATGGAAAGAAAATCACATAGACTTAATAGGAAATATTATGGTAATCCCCATATATCAGTTAAGATAACTGTATTTCAGCAGGGCATAAATTGCCACCGGCTTCTGTATTCAGTCAACTCTGAGACTTAAAAGCAAATGCATATGTGTGTCTCCCTCTTCTTGGTGTTCATCAACATAGTGTAATTGTTGATTCAACCAGTGAAGGGGAAGGAGACATATGTGGGTCATGGGGAGTTCAGAATGACTGAAAGACACCACTGCGAAGTATCGTGAGCAATATTGTCCAAATTGTGTGATAATGGTGGCTGGTAGGTGCTACTCCATTGGTCATGCAGAAAAATGGAAGGGAAAAAGCTAACTAAGCTTTTTAATGTCACACGGACAAGAGACTGGGGGGGGGGGGGGGAGAGAGAAAGGGAAAAGGAGAGTATGTCTTTGTGATTCACTTTATTAGAAGTAAAAAACCCATCTACACCCCAAGACATAACTTCCTATCAATAATAAAATATATGCTTCATACACCACCTCAGCAATATATATACATACATACATATGAAATATATTATGGCATTTTTATTCATAGCTTCAACTATGATGACAACAGGGTTGGAAATCTTATTTTAATGAGCATGAATGGCAGAAAATGAAGTGCAGCAGAGCTGTAACTCAAAGTTCCTGCAGATCACATTCCTGTATAAAAGAGGAGGAGTTGACATTGCTGCATTACAGCTTTGGAGCCCTTCAGCCCCAGAGGAAGGTCAAGGCCACACTGTGTTACGCAGTGTGCAAATTTCTGAACAAAATTACTGGCTGCCCCAACACGTCTATCCACTCAATGAAAGTCAAAAACCACCACATCAGCCTGCAATGGGGAGGAAAAAGACTAAGGCAACCACAAGCGACATATAGCCCCAGATGACTTGAAGCTGCTTTGTAGCCAGTGTAGGAGAGGTGGGGTGGGAGAGCAGCATGGCTGAGGTGCAGGCCTTACCAGACTGCCACAATTCTGCCTCCTTGTAACTTTATGCCTCCTGTGCATTTTCCCCATCTTTGTGACAAATGCCCTTATCTTGTCCCCACCATGCAAAGCAAAGGGACT